TGTGTTGCAAAATGAGAAAAAGTATTTTTGCGTATGCATGTATGTATGTATGAATATAGATGATTGTGTTTGTTGGATTGCCTGAACGATCTGCATACTGTTTGGTTGTTTGGAAATTTGTTGACCATGGGTTGTCATGTGGACGTGTCCATAATCTAATACCCTCAGTAGATATTCTGCGGGATTCGCTGATGGACTAAATGAATAAGTTGACCGTTGAGTCGATAGACATTATCATTCTCGACGGAGACGGTACACGACTATATTTGTATGACTAGAGGATGTTTCGTGTTGATGACGAGTTATCAGTTGGGATTGTGGTTTATTATATATATATATATATATGTTTGATTATTTAGTTATTTTCTGATGGGATTGAAGAGTTCTGAATGTGTGTGAGTGTTTGCCGAGTGTAAGTGAGCACACTCCGGAAGTCGAGATAGTAATTTATCTTTGTCCAAACTGGGTAGTGCAACATCGAGTATTCCACTGTCACATTTATGTCGGTGGTGTCCATTGATTTGCTAATAGATTTGATGTATTGGTTTGTTGAATTTGTTGTGTTTAGTCTTATGAATATGGTGTTAAAATATTTGGTGTTGTTGTATGTGGAGTGTATATGGATGCGTTTGAGTTGTTTTGTGTAGTTGATTGTTTGTTATTGGTGAGCACACTCCGGAGGTCGAGATAATAATTTATCTTTGTCCAAACTGGGTAGTGCAACATCGAGCATTCCACTGTCGCTTATCTGTTAGTGGTGTCCATTCATGGAATATCACAGTTGTTGTGTTTGTGTATGATAAGTCGAATTTTTGTGTACAATGTGCAAGTAGTAGTTGAAGTGGGGTTGCTTAATGTGGATGGTTTCTAGGTTGCATGTGTGGGAGAGAGTGAGTGATGGCGGATGATGAAGATGGTATTTGTGTTTGACGTTGATTTATTTGTACTGTGTACCACAGGAGTGTTAATCTTTCACAGATGTGTGGTGAGTGTTGTTTGTGGACAACGTGAATTGTAGTTGAGTGTTTTATTTTGCTTAATAATAGTTGGGTTGAAGAAACTGTTTATTTTTCTGAGGTGGTGTGTCGCCGACGCCAAAGGGTTAACTGGTCGTTTAGTTAATTGTTGTTCTGTGTACAGAGGAGTGTGGTGTGAATGCTTTGTGAAGAGACGTCTGACTAATATGTGTTGTTGATTTCTTCATGTGTAGATGCGGAGCAAATAATGTAGTGATTATTGGAGAGTGTTGTTGTCGTGTGTGTATGCATGTGTGTTGGTGATATTGGTGATGTTAGTTGTTCAGATGCGCCATTTTGTCTGGTGAAATGCTCGTGTAACATTGAGTGGTTGTGTTCTGTAGTTAAGATGTGGGAGTGTGAGTTGGGAATAGGATGACCGTGGTGATGAGAGTATTTCTGAATAGTGTGTAGACAGTGTTAGTTGTGGTAGATATCCATCGAGATATCTGTGGTTTTCGTTTCGGACGATAGTATTCGCATGTGGAGTATATTGATAGTTAGTGTTATTTGTTCTTTTTTACATTGGACGTGAGTGATTAGTGGTGTTGGTGATTTTGTGTAAGGTGGTTATTGACTAATCGAGTAGAGATTATGTTTGTGTGATTTAGTTGTGTGTTGTATCGCACTCGGATTTTATGTCTGGATAGTAATGTTGTGAGTTTATTGGTGTGATACGTTGTTTGTATTTGATTGATCGTTTACAGGTGTTTGCAGTGAGCTTGCTTTCGACCTACTTTTTTTCGCGTGTTCGACACTGCATAGATAACTTGTCCCTTTATACATTTGTGGATGTGTTGCAAAATGAGAAAAAGTATTTTTGCGTATGCATGTATGTATGTATGAATATAGATGATTGTGTTTGTTGGATTGCCTGAACGATCTGCATACTGTTTGGTTGTTTGGAAATTTGTTGACCATGGGTTGTCATGTGGACGTGTCCATAATCTAATACCCTCAGTAGATATTCTGCGGGATTCGCTGATGGACTAAATGAATAAGTTGACCGTTGAGTCGATAGACATTATCATTCTCGACGGAGACGGTACACGACTATATTTGTATGACTAGAGGATGTTTCGTGTTGATGACGAGTTATCAGTTGGGATTGTGGTTTATTATATATATATATATATATATATATATATATGTTTGATTATTTAGTTATTTTCTGATGGGATTGAAGAGTTCTGAATGTGTGTGAGTGTTTGCCGAGTGTAAGTGAGCACACTCCGGAAGTCGAGATAGTAATTTATCTTTGTCCAAACTGGGTAGTGCAACATCGAGTATTCCACTGTCACATTTATGTCGGTGGTGTCCATTGATTTGCTAATAGATTTGATGTATTGGTTTGTTGAATTTGTTGTGTTTAGTCTTATGAATATGGTGTTAAAATATTTGGTGTTGTTGTATGTGGAGTGTATATGGATGCGTTTGAGTTGTTTTGTGTAGTTGATTGTTTGTTATTGGTGAGCACACTCCGGAGGTCGAGATAATAATTTATCTTTGTCCAAACTGGGTAGTGCAACATCGAGCATTCCACTGTCGCTTATCTGTTAGTGGTGTCCATTCATGGAATATCACAGTTGTTGTGTTTGTGTATGATAAGTCGAATTTTTGTGTACAATGTGCAGGTAGTAGTTGAAGTGGGGTTGCTTAATGTGGATGGTTTCTAGGTTGCATGTGTGGGAGAGAGTGAGTGATGGCGGATGATGAAGATGGTATTTGTGTTTGACGTTGATTTATTTGTACTGTGTACCACAGGAGTGTTAATCTTTCACAGATGTGTGGTGAGTGTTGTTTGTGGACAACGTGAATTGTAGTTGAGTGTTTTATTTTGCTTAATAATAGTTGGGTTGAAGAAACTGTTTATTTTTCTGAGGTGGTGTGTCGCCGACGCCAAAGGGTTAACTGGTCGTTTAGTTAATTGTTGTTCTGTGTACAGAGGAGTGTGGTGTGAATGCTTTGTGAAGAGACGTCTGACTAATATGTGTTGTTGATTTCTTCATGTGTAGATGCGGAGCAAATAATGTAGTGATTATTGGAGAGTGTTGTTGTCGTGTGTGTATGCATGTGTGTTGGTGATATTGGTGATGTTAGTTGTTCAGATGCGCCATTTTGTCTGGTGAAATGCTCGTGTAACATTGAGTGGTTGTGTTCTGTAGTTAAGATGTGGGAGTGTGAGTTGGGAATAGGATGACCGTGGTGATGAGAGTATTTCTGAATAGTGTGTAGACAGTGTTAGTTGTGGTAGATATCCATCGAGATATCTGTGGTTTTCGTTTCGGACGATAGTATTCGCATGTGGAGTATATTGATAGTTAGTGTTATTTGTTCTTTTTTACATTGGACGTGAGTGATTAGTGGTGTTGGTGATTTTGTGTAAGGTGGTTATTGACTAATCGAGTAGAGATTATGTTTGTGTGATTTAGTTGTGTGTTGTATCGCACTCGGATTTTATGTCTGGATAGTAATGTTGTGAGTTTATTGGTGTGATACGTTGTTTGTATTTGATTGATCGTTTACAGGTGTTTGCAGTGAGCTTGCTTTCGACCTACTTTTTTTCGCGTGTTCGACACTGCATAGATAACTTGTCCCTTTATACATTTGTGGATGTGTTGCAAAATGAGAAAAAGTATTTTTGCGTATGCATGTATGTATGTATGAATATAGATGATTGTGTTTGTTGGATTGCCTGAACGATCTGCATACTGTTTGGTTGTTTGGAAATTTGTTGACCATGGGTTGTCATGTGGACGTGTCCATAATCTAATACCCTCAGTAGATATTCTGCGGGATTCGCTGATGGACTAAATGAATAAGTTGACCGTTGAGTCGATAGACATTATCATTCTCGACGGAGACGGTACACGACTATATTTGTATGACTAGAGGATGTTTCGTGTTGATGACGAGTTATCAGTTGGGATTGTGGTTTATTATATATATATATATATATGTTTGATTATTTAGTTATTTTCTGATGGGATTGAAGAGTTCTGAATGTGTGTGAGTGTTTGCCGAGTGTAAGTGAGCACACTCCGGAAGTCGAGATAGTAATTTATCTTTGTCCAAACTGGGTAGTGCAACATCGAGTATTCCACTGTCACATCTATGTCGGTGGTGTCCATTGATTTGCTAATAGATTTGATGTATTGGTTTGTTGAATTTGTTGTGTTTAGTCTTATGAATATGGTGTTAAAATATTTGGTGTTGTTGTATGTGGAGTGTATATGGATGCGTTTGAGTTGTTTTGTGTAGTTGATTGTTTGTTATTGGTGAGCACACTCCGGAGGTCGAGATAATAATTTATCTTTGTCCAAACTGGGTAGTGCAACATCGAGCATTCCACTGTCGCTTATCTGTTAGTTTTTTCCATTCATGTTTGCTTTGTTTTTGGTGAACTTATGATTGCTGAATTTCTTTTCATATCCATTCCATGTTGCTTTGTTATTGGTAATTTTCCGTTTGACTATCTGGATTATTTGTTTTGCGCATGATTTTGATAACTGATTTCTTGTTGTGATTGCTAGAGACTCTTTGAACTACCGATTGAGCTTTGTGCAGGTTAGATGCAGGGCACTGATGCTTATATTCATGTTCTAGGTTGTTTTTCTGAGTATCACTGGTTGTCTTTTTGGTACTTCTTTAAAAGTAGTCTTTTGGTCATTATATCTGAAAATGATATTTGAAATAATCTGAGCGATTGTAATTTAAATAATTCCAATGTTTCCTCTAGCTAACTTGTCTGGACTTCTACAGGGTAATAATCACTTCTTTGTGCACCGCTTGTCTTTTTCGAAAATCTTATTGTGATGTCACGATCGTAATGCTTTGCTTTTGTTTATATTTATTACTTCATCTTGTTGTCTGTTTTCCGTTACTAATACTTGTTTTTACTGTTGGTATATTTCTCAATATTGTCGTTACATTTTTCACTTATAATATTTTTAAAAATTTTGGTTTTATTATTTTCAGCTTAAAATGAATCCAGTTTGGCAGACATTAAATTTTAATTTAAATATTAGCTTCCGTTTCCATTTCTCATTGTGGTGTAATGTCAACAATGCTAAAGAAATCCAAACAAAAATACATTCAAAACAATTTCCCACCCTTACAAACGCTTTCGTTGTTTTAATTAATAGTGATGTCATCATCGATATAGTTCAGGTTGGTTATATACCATATTTTTCCACAAATAGATATTACAGTACCACTTATTTGTTTTTAACCTTTATACGCAATTTATCGTTTTCTAACAGTGAATTTGTGTAAAGTATATCTTTTGTTCCCGTTTTAAAATTTATCCATTATGAATGGGTGTTCTCATTGTTGTCTCTTGCTCTTGGTCAAACTTTTGATGACACTTATTATCACTGTTGATTATTTTCAGCTATTAGGGATTGATCTATTATATATTTAATAGTAGTGAGTAATATTGTTTCATTATCATATCTTTCATATTTTTGATTAATTTTTACCATTAGTACTAAATATTATGAAGTTGCATCTGGGATTTAGTGATTTAATCATCCAGCTTCACTTTTTATGACCATAGCTTTAAGCTCCTTTGTTCTTTTTTCAATCGCTTTATTTATTTAGTTTTAGTTTTCCCTCACTGTCACATATTTAGAGTTTTGAACTTAGCATGAAGTGTTCCAACATTCGATATTTTGCCACCCGAATCTATAATGATGCTACGTTTGTTTTTCTTTAAATTATATCGCTTTTTTCATGTAACTGTTTATGATATTATTTAAAGATATATCTCAACAAGTGAAAAATAAACATGATTGTTCGTCTTCAAGGTTTGTGACTAAGTTTGAGGTAATTCCCGATGTTCTCGTAAAAGGCCATCACCAGTGGAGTTAAATTATGTCGGATATGAGGCAGTTACCGAACAACAGTATTGGAAGATGTCTGTGTAATATCGCAAATTGATTAAAGTTAGGAATGTAGACTTTCGGATGCTAGCTCAGTGGTTAAGCATTTGTCATAACAGATGAAAGTCCTAGGTTAGTTCCATCATGGGGTCATGCGTACGCACTGACGAAACAGCTCCAGAGTACTTTCCTATTTCCAATAGTTGTGTAACTAAAATCAGTCTGAAGTAAACTGTTGTAAAATGATATGTGACGGCCTACGTTTTTGCGATTTGCTGTAAACTGTTTTGCAACTTAATCATTAGAAGGTTATTATTCTCCTTATTTTGATTTGAGCAAAAAATGTAGTTAGCTTATTCACCAATAAGTATTGCATCTTGATATATTTATTGATTTCAAAGTTTTTATTTATTCATTAGTCTGTTAAAAAATCTTTAATGTCATTACATGATGATAATCCTTGGGAAAATTAAATCATCAGCTTCTTAATTGTTCAGTATTTTTACCTCAATTCTGGTCGACGTTTATGGCCTAGATCTTCATGAACTTTACCAATCTAATAACGATTTTTTATACGTCCATACTTTTAGATAGAAGCCGCTATTACCCAGGCTTTAATCCATTATAACGAGGAATCTTCGGGTGGAATGTATACACGAGGGTTGGCTACAGAGATTCTATATTGCCTTAGCCCGAACCGATCGATTACTCATGCGCTGGATACATTTGGAATTAAAGCATCTACCAAAGAACTAATTGTAGGGATCATTCATTCCACAGATGTTTATCAACCAAATGATGCAGTTTTACAAGAGTACTTATCACAAATTGAAAATACAATTCAAGGTACAATAAATACTGGTTCATTGACACAGTTGGTCAAGAACACTGATACAGTTTGTCAAGAATATGGAATAACGAACTTAGAACTAAGTTTAATCAATAAGTCAGATGATCCTCATAAATCTTTACTTGAGAGTATTTTAAGTCGTATGGCATCAAGGGATCTTTTCAGACCTTGAGAATACGAATAATTGAATGGCATAATTATACTGATAATCTCTATTTTGTATAAATTAATTTTAATGTACCATACTGTTCTGTAAATATACATATGACAATTATCTTTAGTTTTTTATTGACATAAAACTAAGATAATTTACTGGTGACCTTTGTCTTTTAAAACTTCAGAAACAGTGGGTAGTTGTTAATTTTCCTTGTAGTCTAGTATGAAAGAAAGGACATAGTTATTAGACTGCGCTTAAAACCATTAAACGGAAATTTAAAGTAGCAGTTATATCGAACTTCTACTTTCCATAGGTTTTCAACGATATACAAACACATCGTAAAATCTGTCTTTTGTTTTAAGTGAAAGCAAATGTGTAAATGTTTTAGGAAGCATAATACACTAACAGGTTTTTATATGTGTTCAATGATTAAGATCATGAGTCAGTTGAAGCTAGACCACCATGGAAAACCTGGAAGCACTGGACGGCCGTTTCGTCCTATTATGGGACTCCTCAGCATGTGTTCGTCAAAGATCGCCTATTTAAAGTGGATTTCAATGGTCCAACAAATCAATTTCATTCTTTTAGTCCGTAGTTTGATATTTATTATCATTTCTTTATTAATTTGCTTGCAAATTGTATATATTACTTTCAAAAAAAACAGGAGTAATTTCCTTTTTTAAATATACCTGGCCATGAGTAACAGTATTTAAGCCAGTCAGCTCAATTATTAAGCCATAATTTATAGGTTATCATTCATAAGGAAATTTCGACCAATGACTTCTAATTTGTTCTTGTGAAAAAAGATCACTGAACTTAAATAATATTAATATATTGGATCTTTAAGGAGTCACTCGAAAATCATGAAACCATTTCGAGATTAGATGTAAAGCTACAAGTGAATGATGTGGGTTATCGGATGACTTGGTAAATTCATATCTATGTGAGTATCCTTTTGATATGTCCATACAATGCAACCCATCACCTACGCTCTACTCCAGCAAAATCAAATTAAGAGTTCACTTTACATTTAGAATAAAAACCCATATTTCTTTTTAGACTATGTGATACAGAGTATTGTATTGTAAGTGTTGACGTTATCACATGTTACGTGCTTATCTAAACGGATTGCTAATCTTCCATGAATTTTTAACAAAACATTATTATTGATCTGAAGTACGTTTTCTAATTATATATATATATATATATATATATATATATATTCTATGTAAGTAACTATTAAATCAGTGATTTCATACATTTTCTTTGCCTTATAAGTTCTTGCATAACATGATAACTAATCGTAGCCAAAGAATATAAATCCACTAATTTTGTAAATTCCCTTCAGTCACTTGTATCGTAAGGACAATAATATTAAGAATAAATAAAGGTACATAGTTTATATTGAAGTTAAAGGGAAGTCTTGATTAGGGTTACAGTTGACGCGAATGGTAGCTTGTAAAAAATTAAATAACTGGTACAATTAAAAGATCGATTCTACAAATATTCCTGACGAGAAGACTGAGCTCATAGATGGAAATTTAAAATTAGTCTTATAGGTTACCCAACACTATATACAGAAAAGATTGGTTAGTTGAGTAAGGTTCAAATAATAATTCAGAGAAAATAAACGTGGTTGATGGTATAATATACGATATTATCCGTCGCATTGTTATGATACTGCACAGATGCTAAGTAATGTTGATTACAGTATCCTTTTAGATGGATTTTTTTAGTTCAAATCTGACAGCAGTAGCTTTAGAAAAGTGCAATAATTTTAAAGTTATTAACCCACTGATTATGTTGAAACAATCTAAAAATTTCTGTTCAGTACCAAATAATACTGAGAACATAGTTTAATTTTGATTTCCTCAAAGATGCAAGTAATATTTATCATTTCTGTTCTTCCAACATGAAGGCTTTATCAGATACGTGCGAACCGGCAGACTCAATTCCAGGTAACATGGTGTGGAAATGTATCCACGGTCGACTGTCTCAGAGTGAAGGTGGCTGAACCGTTAATCACCGATTTTTCAACGTAGCTTCTAATCGAAAATTAGTCGTCCTAGCTTCCTCACTCTTGCAGCCAAGTTTTGGAAACAAAAGCTTTTAAGGACCGTAGCATACTTTGTTTCTATCTTTCCATAAATTTACAACCCAGTCAACTTTGACTATGACCAATTCCTGTTCATATTTCTCTTCGTAACATATTTTCCGCTATCTATTTTGTGAAAAATCAATCGGAAACTTGAATGAGTCATCGACAACAATCCTAACTTTTTCTTACATAAGTTTTCCTATCCATCGTAAAGACTGAATAGTCCCTATCACAATGGAGAATGGCAGTATTTTAAATATACACTAAGTTTCCTAATGCCTCTTGATGATCCCTAGATAAGACCTTGAGCCGTGTGGTGTCATGATGCAATATATTGATTTGCTAAGTCAACTATTCGCGAGCAATTTCTTCTATTTTATGATCCTGCCTGATCGATCCATTAACTAAGAAACACTGAATTTTGTCATTTAATTACTTGGTAACTAAATTAGTAGGATGTCGTCAGTATTGATAGTTAGACTGAATGATATGGTTATTTTTTAGCATTGCGACCAAACATTCTTTTAGTGTTTGTTATGATGGATGGTATCCGAAATCTGATATTGGTAAGCGACGTGCCACACATTAACCTTCCCCCCACCTGGCTACTTGAGCGAGAACACAAGAGTGGATTACCGAATAAAATGCACAAATACTCATTTATATATGTACATTTCTATCCGTAGTAAAATCACAATCGAAATTCTGGCGAATCCAGCATTTGACAGAGTTAGCTCCTCAAGATATTTACAGTGACCAATGACTTGTACTGAACAGCCATTGAAAATCAGAGAGCACTGAAATCTAGTATGGAATAAGTAGTAGTTTGAATCCATTATCCCCGTTGAGGTTCGGACTTAGTAACCTAAAGTCCCACGATGAGCGTTTAACCTTTAGACCACTGTGTCATCATCCATGGGTTCATGTTTTTGAACTCAAGTTATTGAGTCCATGAGTTAATTTCTATGTAGCGATCTTTCCTTCTTTAGTTTGAATTGGATAATAATTCTTTATAAGAGTAGCGCATAGTGTTCAGTTATTTCACAGTTTAACAATTAACTTTATTAAAGAGATAAATAAAACGTACATCAAATCTGAGACAATAGTACTCTGAAGTAATTTATTACATCTATTAAACTATGTAAAAATTTGAAATAAGAAACAAATACCCGAACCGAAGTCAACTATCTACATTTTTTGATAATATTAAGAATGAATGCAAGTGATTTATGATTTTTAAAAATGCAGACTATAACAGTTTAATTCTCTATCGATTTACTTCATACAATCTCAGATCATTATCGAGAGAATTTTTTTGTTCGAGCACATTGAAACTTTAGTCATCAAATTTTATTATAACTAGTATGGTAAGATGAAGTTAAGAGTGAAGCAACATGTATACTAAGTGTTTTATCATTGATTATCACCGACTGAATCTCTTTAAATGGATTTTTCGTTTATATGTTACTTCTCATTTACATGCAAACTTTTTAATCAATGTTTTTATCATATATAATAATTATTTTGGAATTATTGGTCGTTTAATATCTGTCTTTGTCCACTTTTAATAGTCGTCGGTCATAGAAGTATAATGAAATAGAGTGAACAAATTTTAAGTCTACTTTTTCTTCGACAGACTAATATTGTTCTACTTTTAAGTCGAATGAACGAATCAAAGCCATAAAACATGTTTACCTACTCAGATAAATTACATTAGTCCTTGAATTCTGAAATAGACTAATTACTAACAAATACTTCATTGTAATTGTTTTCTGCTAGTCTTTCACTTGGTTATATTATTATTAATTCTTAATTCCATAAGATATTTTCTCGTAAGCATTTAAGATAATATATGAGAAGTGGATGAATAAATTTAGAGTTTTCCCATCTGACAAGCAGTTTTATTGGGATATATATGTTAAGTCTAGGGAAGTATCTAACAATACGACTACAGTTCTATTGTTACAATATATATAATTTGGTTGCAAACCTTAATGCTTGGAGTGTTCGTGACGATTAACGTGTCTGTATGTCCGTAAAGAAAGCTTGTTATAATAATAAGATTATTTTCTAAGTACGATAGCGCAAATGACATAAGTTAACTGTCTAAAGTCAACAATCAAAGTGGAGACGAAGAGTATACAAATATGGAAACTATTGCATTTACATAAAGTCTTAAGGACTGCACAAAACCGTTACAAAGGTTGACAGGAGGTAATTGCAATAATGAATACAATAATTATTACAAGTTCATGTAAATACGACAAATAACGTTCAGAAATTATCAGAAATAAAACTAGTTACTGAATAATTAGCAGTAGTATAAGACAATACGAATCAAAAGAAAGGACGGAATGCAAACGTACCTAAAACTATGTATAAATGGGGTATTAGACAAATACTATATTTTCCGTTATCTTATTGTTTTATATTTTCATTGTTATATTGGTTTTCCATAATTTCTGTTATTTTCTTCATATTAAAGGTTACTAAGTCGTAATAATAGATATATTCTTTGTTATATCCAAGTGAGTAGAAAATTGTATTTCTGATGTTTCGTGACTTTATGTGGTCCACTTCTTCAGAGTAACTAAATAACCGAAATAAAATTAACGCAATCCTAAATAGTACCATGGAGACAATCCAGAATATAAAAGTATTTTCTACAAGAGGCTTGACAAAGCAATTATTTTTAGACTATCTACAGGGTCTAGTATGTGATATATATGTTCCATTTAAATATTTTGTCGGAAAAATGGTTGTTTTTTATCATTTTATTTTGTAACAACTACAGCTGTATATCTTAGCTATATTCTTTCTCAACAATTACTGATCATCGTAACTCAATAGCCATTAGGAAGACTAGTTGTTACATAATTCTAAATAGCATAAGTGATTACGAGATTGTACACCCCAG